AAAAAAAAAAAAAAACCAACCTGGCAGCTTCAATTTCTGTATCAAAGAGACCCAGATAAACATACCTGTTCCAATCAATAACAACGCGTCAAAACGAAATCTTGATCGATCAACGATATATCCGAACCCGGAGAATAAAAATCATAAATAATGAGGTTATAAGAGAATAATATGGGATTAATTTTATTGATTTTGAAGTACTTTTTGCCAAGGAATTGACCCATTCTAGCTTCCCATCTACCACATTTATGCAGAGTTACCCCTCTAAACTTAGAACTCCCTCTTGGAAAACCAGTGCTTTGTCTTCTCAGCACATGCACAAATTCCTCCTTTGTTAGATTGCTCATCTAACCACACAAAATAAAAAAAAAAAAAAAAAAAAAAGAAAAAAAAATGAATAAAATTGCACCAAACAATAATAAAGGGATATGATAAGGTCTCCAAACATTCTGTCGGGGGTTGTAACCGTTAGATCATCATGTGACCCTCGGAGATAGTTGATCTAACCGTTACAAACTCCCCGACGGAATATGTTACCTGTTTCAAGTCTTCTTCATAATCCTGAAGACTAAAGTTGATATCAGCTTCAACTCCTCTGAACTTAATTGCTGCCCTATCATATGCACTGCAAATTCATACAGAACAAAATAAATAAATAAATAATTAAATAAAAGAAGAAAAGAAGTCAGTCTTAATTGACAAACCTTATGGGAAATGTTACAGTCACGTTACCGAACCATTCTGTCGGGATATTTAACCGTTAGATAATCATAATCGTCGTGGAGAGCTGATCTAACGGTTACAAATCCCGACGGAATTGTCCAGTAACGGGACTGTAGAATCTCCCCAAACTTAAAACACATGTTAATTACAAGATTGGGAAGCTCACCAGGCTGCAGCATGAGCAGTATCAAAACCACCTGCAAAATACCCAAATTTTTTGCAGATTTTTTTTTTTTTTTTTTAAAGAAAGTTCAAATCAGATTGTAATTTAAAAAATAAAAAATAAATAATTTGTGATGAGAAAGGAAGGAAAACAAACCTAAATAAACCTGTTTTCCACAGTCCCTGATACAAATGGCAACAAATGAAAGAGGCTCAAAAATTGCATGTGAAGGCAAAAAAAATTGAATCTTTATTTAAATTGTTAATAGTTTATTACCATATGTGCGACTCCCAACGGCCGGTCCGCCGGTAAAACGTCACGCCTCGGTACTGCGAGCTCCTCGAACGGGGCCCACGACGGCTCTTCTTCAGCGGCGGAGGCGGCGATCTACCCGGCGCGGCGGCGGCGGGGGCGGTGGCGCCGTGCTCGGGACGGCAGAACTTAACCCCCACCCAGTGAGCGGCCCTCGGGAAATCGGCCGCCGCGGTCCCCTGCTCCTCCACCGGAAAAAACTGCCGCGTCACCGGAGACGAGCTCCGCCCCCCACCGCCCAGCGAGAACCCGAAGAGCCTGCCGCCGGATCCCCCGGCGTCCTCGCCGTCGGAGCAGAAGTCCTCAACCACCGCCGCCGCCGACGAGCCCGAGTTCGAAACCGACCCGACCCGTTTCCCCTTTTCGCCGGAGCCGCCCTCCGAGTCGTCGTACCTCGTCCGATCCGGCGAGCCGTTGAGATCCCACATTTCTCCAGACAACATAGGAGTTGAAAATTGATAGAATACCAAAAAAAGGGGGTCTTTTTTTTTTAATTTATTTTGGGTTTGTGAATAAATTCTTTATCATATCATCATCTGCACAGTCTCATCAAGAAACAGAGCAAGAAAATATTAAAACATAAAATTAAAAAAAAAAATAAAAAAAAAAAAATCCTGCAAAAGTATCTCTCTTTGAGAGTTAACAGTAGGATTATTTATCTATAGATTATTACATAGCCTCTTAAAAGAACATAAAGAAGCTATACATACCTCTATAGCCATATAGGCTTCCCGAAAATAATAAAATAAATAAATAAATCGATTTTCCAAATCGGTCTTCAAACTGTTCGACTAAATGCCTACAAAGCCTATAAACTTACTTTTATATCCTTCCTCTCTCGAGGCCATATAGAGGATGCTACATTTTTAAATAACCCTTTGACCTAAATACTTTGTATTATAGGTTTTTTTTTTTTTTTTTTAAATGAAAACACAAATTCTTGTACGAGATCAAAAAAAAAATATATATATTATACATAAGAGTTTAAAATCAAGACAAAATATAATTTTTTGTCGGTAAAATTGTAATTCTAGTCCTGTTTGTTTGATCAAGTGGTGTTTTTTATCCTAAGAATTGAATATTTCTGTTATTTGGTACTATCATTTTAAAAATCAACGCAATTTCAGTCCCTTGGGACTGAAATTGCAACAAAATAAAAAATTACACGACTTAAATTGCTAATAAAAAAATTTTTGGATGAATTTTTTTATTAGCAAATTTAAGTCCTGTAATTTTAAATTTTGTTTTGGAATAAAATTGTAGAAAAATACTAAATTACGTGATCAAAAGACAAAAAGTTAAAATCTTGGGACTGAAATGCTACAACGTTGAACTAGCAGGACTAATAATACAATTTTGTCTTTTTTTCTCAAACATGCAACTTAAACGGTTAGTCAGGTCAACCTATCATACTATGTAAGTACGTATATATTAAAAAAAGACATATTTATAATATTAAATGTCATACTTTAAATAAAATATTACATGTTATAATACATTAACTATATTTATAAAAAGATTATATCAATTTAATTTTATTGTTAAACTAACTTAACACGTGAAGATAATAAAAAAAAAAGTGGCCGCTTTTTTATTTTATTTTATTTTACTTTATTTTATTTTATATTATTTTATTTTTTGGGGGTGGGGGTTCTCCATATTGAATCAAATCATAAATACATGAGAAATTGATTTTTTGGGACTATTTCTATATTTATATATATATATGTGTGCTGGCTGGATTTTTTTTGGTTTCTTTCAAATTTAATTTAATTAGCTGTTTATTCTCTTCTTACCTTTTTTTTCTTAAAAAATTCAAGTATAGTAATAACTAGTATTATATTTTATTGTACATAGGTTTAATAATTATTATACATTCACATCAAATTAAGGAGAAAACATAGAAAAAGGAAAAAAAAGAAAATGAAAGGACAATACATAATATACATTTCTTTGTTACGCAACTTTCCGATGTTAACCAAATCGAAAAGCAACTGTCTTTCGTATTTTTCTTTAGCCATCCACGGTATTCGGAGCAATGCCCCGACTAATCCGTTTGTCGATCCGGGTGCACACTTAGCAGTAGTGGATAAATCTCCCAATAAAGGTTTTTTACATCCAGAAAGACTCGAACTCAAGACCTTGCTTAAGCGGCATCAAACTGCTTACACTTGAGTCAACCCATGTTAATCTTTCATATTTTTAAAATATAATAAAATGTTATTTTCTTACCCCCAAAAACTTTAACCAATAACGGAAATAGACAGCACCAACACAGTGTGGATGACTCCTTACTCAATTGCCTTTATTAGAAACACAGTAATAATTAATTCATTCATTCATTCAAAAGTCCACATCACTAACACAGCCACACGTAATGTTTTGTGCTGTATTTGATGTACTATTTATTAAATGCTTTAGGCCTATCCTTTAATTCCGAGTACGTGATCGGATTATGTATCCCAATTAGTCCAATTTGTGATCGGACTGGAGTTGCTCGACGCCGATCTCATTTGACAAACAAAATTGCGGCATGGTCGGACGGGATGGGAAGCGTTCGACTTCGTGGAGCAGGGAGCTAAACCTATTATGCTTAATTTTCTCATCATGAACCTCACCATTGTTGTGTAGGAACTATTTTGTAGAAAATTGATGCACTAAAGAGAGGCTCACACTATATGTTAAAAAAATGTTTTAGAAGTTCGTGGGTTGTGATATTCCTAATGTTATATTGTCAAGTGTTGTATTTTTGAATCTAGATTTGAGCACGATATGAATCTGAAATAGTGTTAGTTGCCGAGGAGTAATCCCTATTGCATTTACATGAGACTTGTTTTACTTGTCACTTTGTTGTAGTATTTTGTAATCTCCTTTAAATAAATTTGTGTTGTTTCAAAACTTGTTGGTGATTTGAGCAATTACCTATTGTTTGGTATGTTCGGTAAGCAGAAGAAGCTTGGGCAGGTTGACTGCTAGGATGACGACCTAAATAATTAAGATGGATCTGGAATGAGCTAAAGGGGGAAAGATAAGAAATAAGCAGGTCATACGCTTTGATACCAAGATGAACAACATATCGAACTTGAAAGAAGATTTGTAGAACGCCCAACCTAAATATCAGAAACCTACTAACATTCAGTAGGACGACTTGAGGAGCCAAGACCTACATCTATCTAGCACGACGACTTAAGTAACGAAGAACTTGTGGACACTGTGCTAAAAATCGGCCTAGGCGGCCGCCTAGGCGCTAGGCGGTGCTCGGGCGCCTCTGATTTGCACAAATTTGTAGAAAAAATCAGCCAGACGGCTAGGCGACATCTAGGCGCTCCTAGGCGGGCTCGGCGGCCAGGCGGTTAGGCGGCTCCTAGGCGGACTTAGGCGGGCTCGACGATAATTTTTTTTTTTTATTTTTTTTTTTAATTTTTTTAAATACTAATTACGTTATTTTGTTCTCGTGTTTTCTTTAAAATATATTAATTTTATTATTTGGACTTAGGTTTGTCGATTTATTATAAGTTGAGATTTGTAGGTGGTTAAAATAAATAAAAAAGAAGGTATTTAATATTGATTTCTAGGCGCCGCCTAGGCATCTAGGCGCTAGGCGCTAGTCGAGCGCCTAACAGGCGCCTAGCGACTTTTAAAACATTGCTTGTGGACATAGAGAACTAAGTAAACATGGACTCTATCAGGATAAGGACGAATCTAATCTAGATGAGGATGAATATAGTTAGGATAAAGATGAAATCAAGATAAGAATGAAGAACACATAGAAGATAAGGATTAACCTTAGGTAGTCGGGCAGCTCTTATAACATTGGTCGAAGGCACCTAGGGACTTCGTTGCTATTTAAAAATCTCTAAATATATTGCAATTAGTTTATTGTATAAATCTGTAATTTATTAAAAAGTTAATAAATGTACTGTTGTGTCACCTTTTTCAAGAACCGTTGGTTCACCTACTCTTTGAACTACCTTCGTCTTTGAGTCGTTGACCTGCAATACGCCGAGAGGGGGTTTTGGTGGAAATACCTCTGACGCTTAAGTTAGAACTTGCTCAAACAAAAGTATATATGAACGTATGAATTAAAGGCGTAGAATGCGATGACTAGATGAAGAAGAATATGCCACTCTTATATATGGTAGTTAGTTTGGTCTCCAAGAGAGTCCTTGCTGTGACTTATCCGAGGTCAAACTTGACCTCATCTTGAGGTCTAACCTAACCTCGTCTTAAGATCCAACCTGGCCTCGACCTGAGGTCCATTCTGTCCTCGGGTCATATGACCTCGATACCTAGAGGTCAACTGTATTTACCTAGCTACTGGAGGTCAACACCTCCAGGTCGTCTCTTCTAGGTTGGCCAACACCTTAGAACCAAATACAGGCTTCTTTGTAGAGTAATTTATCTCCGCACATAGAACTTTCAGTTTGGGATCTGTGAGAATCTCGAGATTATGCAAGTCACAGATTATCTACGAATTAAACCCTAAGCACAACAGATCTAGAAGCGAGGGTTCAGTGCATACCGTTTAATATTTTTGCCGACTCTGAGATGTTTTTGATTTCCGTTGTTTGGAGATCGTCTGAAACCTAGAGTCTGTTGGCAGCCGTACTTGTCCTTGTCAATCACCAGATCGTTCCCCATTCATATCGGACCGTCCTGGACTCTTCGCGGACTCACTGGAACTCCTCGAACTAGCTGGACCACCCCTGGACTGGTCTGGGAACTCCTAGGCTGATTCTGCGTGCACTGGGCCGCTACATGCCACTAGGTCGGGCGCTGGTGCGCCGTTGGGCAGCTGTCCACGCTGGTGGGCTTCGCTGGATCAAGCCATTGGGCTATTGTAATGGGCTGGAGCAAGCGGGCTCTGCACGGGCTGGGATCGGGCCACTGCTGAGAGGAATCGCATGCTGATGCGCGGGTTGTGGTCGAGCCCTAGGTGGGCTGGACGCGGGCCGTGCGGCCCTTGCGCTGTTTCTCATGTTGGGTTCATTCGCATTGGGCTTCTCCGTTTTGGGCTTCACATGCACTAGACCTCCATGCTGCGGGCTTCCTCATGCGGGCTGCGTGTCTTGCGGACTGGACCTGCTCCCTAGGCTCCTGGGCTACGCGCATCTTATTGGGTAAGCTGGACCGCGACTCCAACGACTGCTAACCGTGAATGTGCGCGGCGGCGGCTCGCCGGAGCTCGCCTTCCCGGCCACCTTGGTTGTTCGTCTCTGGATTTTGACTGGAGGGTCGCCAGAAAGTCACGATCGCCATGAGATGGTCGCTGGATAATTCCAATAGATTCGATTAACATAATTCTTGCCTTTTGTGAAGAATGGACAACCCCCTAAATTACAGATAAATTACGTAGTTGAATATATAAATTTTGTGGGGTTGGATATATATATGGCTCGACTACCTCAGATCTTCTGTTGTATGACCCGACATTCTCTCCGATCATCTTGGTGGGCGATGAATTGGTGATTTCTCTACTGGGATTACTTAGAGAAGAAGAAGAGAACACAAGAGAGAGAAGAGAACACCAGGGGGCGGCGTTTATGCTCAATCTCACGTGGGGCGTGTGTTTTTCATCTGATCTCCTAATCCCAAGAGATGTAATATATTTATAGGTTACAACAGGGACCCTAAGTAGGTATTAACTTGGGCTTCTCCTATTAGAATTAGACTATAGGCCAATTGTATCAAACCCTAATAGCAATAATACATCTATTCCACTAAAGTAGTATTATTGAATAAACTCTCAATTTAATTCCTGAATTATATTCGAGGCTCCAATAATAATTACTCGATTTATCTCCCCGTGTTTAAGATATAATGTCCATCAATTAATTTAATTACTGACAATTAAATTAATCAAAATCTATAACCGAGACTAGTACCCCCCATACCATTATTATTATGTCAGAATAAATTACACTGGCCAGATTTAACATAATAATCCTTCATGAGCTCATCTCGGGGACATCATGAAACTATCGCACACGGTGCCCGTAAATATTCTAACAGCACATCGTACATACAATAATATTACCCAAAACATTAAGTATATTGATCAAGTAAACCGAATCTCACCCCAGTGACTCAAAGTAATATTTACTGCATGTACATACTTGTTTATATCTTACGGGTTAAGAGCACGTAGTAATTAACCGAGGCCTAGTTCGTTTACGACGATCAGTATAAAACGAACTTCTCCTCTCTGGGATCCGTTCAATACACAAAGTGTACTAGTGTAACTAATCAGTCAAGACCAACTGTACGGTTAACACTACAATCGTTCATGATGGGTTGTTCATTTACATCTAGGTTGTGAACCTACTATTCTTGTTTCACAAGTAACTGATAGAATGATCTTTTGTTCGCCCAATGACGACTCATTCTATCTAAGTGCAAAACAACAAAACATAAATTGTTTAATTAAACATGATTCTCATCTAAACGGGTTTAGTGTAAATACATCTAAAGCCAAGCTTTCAGTATATACACTAACACTTTCCTATACTGGACTAGCTGAGCTACATGCTCATGCCAGTCTACCGAGCTATTCTGATTGTTGCATCATCTAGCCTCCCCATTTCAGGACGAGCTAACTAGACTTATGTTGAAATAAACATTTGCGCTTAAGCCCTTTAGTCTTTTTCTATGTTTAATGCTTTTATCAGATAATTTGAGAGAGCGTGAGATGCCAAAAATGGACTTTTTACATGATCCAATACCAATTTTTTGCACAATGTACACGTGAATACGTCTCATCTTACTCTGTGCACAAATTTGAGCCCTTGATGTATGTGCCTTCTAACGGACATATTTGTCCTTCTTGCCGCTGCTTATAAAATCTCCCATAGGTCATTACTCCTTAGTTGCTTCACTAATACTCTTCACTCTAACCTTATATAGAAACATCATTTTCTTAGTCTCTCGTCTCAGTGAATCCCTAGACTTATTTTGTCAGTCTCTCAAATACTATGTTGCACAAGACTAATGGGTACGTTTTTGGACCTTTCTCTGCATATTCTTTTTTATTTGAAACCTTGATCTGCATCTCTCTGTCCCTCTATTTGTTTTTAAATTTATTGGGGTCATCTTTCGGCTTTATTCATCATCTTTCACTATGTCGTAGAGCTCCTGAACTTTTTCTTTTCAAAGTAGTCTAAATACCATGATAGAAAACTTTTCAATCCTTTCAAGCCACTTCTCTAGCCGCTACCCTAATATCTTTGCACCAGCCTGCCAACGTGGCTTTCGGCGAAGGTGCTCGGGCCGTCCTTATCCTTAATTTAGTCCAGTTCCCAAGACTTATCCCTTTACTTGTCTGTTCAGGTACTGACCTACAATACTTTAAGCATGCGTTTGAGCTTTATCGGTCATGGGAGTTTCGGCTTGCCAGGGCTGGATATTCCTTCACTAAGCCATCTGAAGGCTTTTACGTCTTCTTCGCAAATCAGTTGTACGTAGGTTGGAATTTCCCTTTAAATTTTGATCTCCTAGAGTTAGCTCAGCCCTATGGAGTACCTCTAAACCATTTTGCTCCCAATGCCATTCATTTTGTGGCAGGGTACTGCATCATAAACCGTTACATCCTTCACTCTTTCGACCCCAACATTTTCTATTACCACTATTGGATGAAGCCACAAAATACTCATTTTATCTTTCTCGTCACAACAATGCAAAATTCCTTCACAACTTGTTCTCTAGCAATCCTGAGTGGCAAGACAGATACTTCTTCGTAAGACTTCCCCAGGAACTTTTGACTTTGCTTCTGAATGGTTTCACAAAAAAACCAAACAACGTAAGCCCCCAAACCAGAACAAGCTTACAAAGACCTTATCGCAGATACGAAAAAATTCCTCTATGACCTCGTCCTCTTTACCGACAACCACGACTTGAGGTCACTCTGCGGTCTGTCCTCACTGCCCTGCTCCAGCCATCATGACTAAGGTATCTCTTCGATCAACAATGTTTTTCTCTCTTCATGCATCTCCGTCTTCATGTTTTCTTGATGACTAACTTACTATGTTTTGCATTTTTGTTTGCATATGTAATAGTTTAGTAAACCTCCACATCACAATCGCATGCTCATGTATGGTCCGTCTTCACGTTTCTATCTTTTTATCGATCTCTCTGCAGAGTGTGAAATAGAGTCGGTGAAGCATGCCGATAAAGGCATACACATGGTCATTGTTCTTTCAAAGTCTTCATCGTTCAATCAACAAGCACTCATGACAATATACGTTTTAAGTGTATGTCATCATCGTATGTTAGAAAGAAAATCGATAAAAGCTCTATATTAGAACCGGGGGAAGAGAGTGCGGTCCCACCAGATGAAGGCGCACCATAAGAGGGTGAGCCTAGATGCACCTTAGTGAGGTTCCATCCCAAAACCAATTGGTGATAGGAGGAGTAGCCCACTAGGTATATATACTAGACCCATTTTTCCTATAGAATCAATGTGGGACACTCACAAGTGATATTCCAACACTCTACCCTAACACATAGCATCGGTTTTTACCCACAAGTGCATCAATTATAATTCTATTTTAGGTATCTCCAACATTATCCTTTATGTAAATAACAATTATATCTTAAAAACATATTTTCACTAACTCATCAATGTTTTAAATTTACAACTCCATTTGATTTAGGCTGGTCCCAAAATCTATAAAAGGAATATATTCCATATTTGGATCCCGGCCACCACCACTTTTTAATACACTTATTGGCCTATTGCTCTTGTTTGGGCCGTCCTTGTCATAATAATAATATGCCACTTTCCCCAATTAAACTACTAATTCAATGGCCCGATTTTGTTTTCCGTTTGTTGGAATCCAAGCGAAATTGATGGTAATAACAACGTTAGCCCACAAAAATCCTTTTGATTTTTTCAGCTTTTTAAGGTGCAAAAATGGGAGGGGCAAAAGGAGACGAGATTGGGGGGGACCTTATGTACAAATTCAACATCAATAACTACACCTATGTGGGGGACCTCAAAAGACATCTCATCGCCAGCTTTCTTTGGGCGCCCAAACGAATTTCGGGCCCTCCCAGGCCCGGTGTGGTCGCCGCCGCGGCCCCCGGCTAGTTGCCGACGCTGTTTATCCAGTAAATTTCTTCGTTTTTTTTACTACTTGGGGTTTGTTTTACTTTTCCATTTTCTGTTTTGCCATCAATTCGCCTTATCTTTTGGGCAGCCAGAGAATGGAGTTTATAGGGTCGGAGATTTTACGACGAATTTCGGGCCCTTCCAGGCCCGGTATCTTAATGCTTTTCTTTAATATAATTGTATCATTATTTGTGGGTTTTTTTTTTTGGGCCCGATTACCTTGAGAGATGGTCAATGTCTGTTACATCTTACGTTTCTCTAATTAGTTGTCATCTTTGGATTAGCTCTGCAAATGCTGGTCGAAAACAGACTAGCTTGTTTTCCAGCTGTTGATGATGATTGGAAGTTGGTATGTTTTGCTTTTCTTTGTTAATTCTTGTACAGCAATTTGAAGATATTAATCATTTAATATTTTGGGAGCAATGTACTTTTGTTACCAGTAGTAAATTTGAACATGGGATGTTGATCGATTCTCGTATGACTTGTCATGCTTTGCAAATATTTACTTGGGGATATTTTGAGCTGTGGCTGTTATAATGGAGTTTTAACATTGAAGATTGATATTGGGAGTGTTGATGGAGTTTTGCAATAAATGATACTATGTGCTTTGTGACTTAAATTATTCATTTTGTTCTTGGATTTGTGTTTAAAACCATGGAGTAAAAACTAATTTATGAGCCCAAGCTCGGTAAATAGAACTTTAAATACGTATGATCGAGTGCTAGCCTTAGTTTCTGAAACATTATTATTGCTCTGTCATCTACAAGAACCTTTGATTTTTTGTCCATCAATATTTGGCAGTTCATCCGCACACATCATCCATATATGACATTTGGGCTGGAGACATTATGAATTTCTTGTCATGTTGTAGAAGTATATTAAGTAAGAACATAGGTGCTGACATGAGATTGAGCATAAGACTTTGATAAACGCGAAAAATTTGTCAAAAAATATCTTTGCAGGCAGTGCGTGGTAGTTGTTGCTTGATTATGACAATAATGTGCGAGGAAGGGTCTCTATCTATCGATGGGTTCCTTAATATGTTTGAACTTTGAACACAATTGTTGTGCATCCTCGTCACTATATGATGTATAGATCGATACCAGGAATATGTTAAGAATTCACAAGAGCAAAATTAGTGGCGGAACGAAAAAATTCTTGTCAGGAGCTGTTTAAGTTTATGATGGTTTTTTCTTTTTTTTGTTTTTGGGGTCACAAGCAGGTGCATTGAAAAACTTGAGAGATATATATGTTGGATATAAGTCACACATTCATAAAAAATTGCATTGCCGTACCGTGTGAGGTTTTAATATTCCTCAGGTCCTTGAATTTGTTCTTAAAATGTGAAGAAACATATTCCATTATCACTGTCTAGGTACCGGAAAGACCGATATGGACATGTTTCTGGAAGTTTATAGAACCTGGAAAGTAAGTTAAATCTCTCTCTCTCTCTCTCTCTATATATATATATATATATATATATATTTATGTTGTTGTTCTAGTACTGCAAGATCTCCATTTTCTCTTTTTACAATATGAGTTGTCAATTATAGTTTGATGTTCCCTTAGGAATCGGGAAGAAACAGAAAAAATCGAAAGCATTACTGTATTGTTGCCTAATATCATGAAGATTAGTTGGATCCTGAGAAAGTCTGCAATTAATCTAATCATGTTACAAAATGTCGGAGGCTTCAACATTAATAAAATTGAACTCGTGGGAGAGAAAGTTCACTATACGGATCAAGCGATTGATATTTGACAGATTTTTCATATAACAATTCTTGAACAAAATATGCCTATAGTGATAAAGACCAATTTATGAAAGTTTATTCTAGAAGGCTGAAACGGGCTGCGGCTGCTCCTACTGGACCCTAGGGCGTAGGCCCAATTATCCTTATTATTTAGTTAATGTAACTAGTTAAGTTAGTGGGCTCTTAAATGGGCTTTAGGGTTTAATTATTAAATATTAGGGTTTAGTATATATATTGGTGGGTAAGAGTTAGATGGGTATTCTGGAATATTGACGTTTGTGGCAGGCTATCTTGCCTGAGGACCCTTCGGGGTAGTACGTTCATTATCTATTGTTAATATTGCCCTTCACTCTATCATATAGTTTCTGTGATATTTTTTTAAAACATAACAAAGTGAGATGCTTTTCACATAGTGCATCGCATAGTTGGTTTTCTGTGGTGGTTGTTTGCTATATCGTTAATTACGCTCATATTTCACTGGGGCTTTACTGAAATCACTCCTGTGTTTATGTACCAAATTCCTTCGAAACTACTTGAGGGAGTGGGAAAGCCACTTTGTAGATGCTCCATACCCTTGTCTGATGTTTTAACTTTCACAAAACAACCATCCTTTAAGAATTAACTTTTAGATTGGAATATTCCACAATTGCATATGTACGCACGCGCTTGTATGTATTGAAGGCTGATGTTGACATCATTTTTACGATTTATTATACATATTTTGTTATGACTAGCTACTAGAGATTCACTCTCACTGACTAATGCGCACGCTAGTTTGCGTATTATGCTGACGACACATTCACGTAGCCACCAATCTTGAGGATGCCGCTAGGTATCTAATTTATATTCCCTACTTGACTTTTGTCAATTCTCAATAAAGTTGTTGCTCAAGAGTTCGATTACATATTTTGTCGTTAATCCTCAGATTACTTCTGGAGACAAAATGCCGCCTCCTTCCTGTCGTGGACGATAATGTCAAGTTGGTGAGTGCCACATTATTACGTCATATGTGGTGTTCATTTCGTTTTATTTATATATTGAATGCATGACCTTTCTCTCTTTCTCTTTTCATTTTTCCTTTCTTTTTCCTCTTGGCTGATCTTTATGCACATTATTAGCCCTCTCTTTCATTGTTTTCTTTCTCAGGTTCGCGGCTCCCGGCGGTTGTCGAGCGGGGCTGGGACGGTCCTCTTCCAGATGGTCAGGTTTGGGTTCTTCCTGTACAGCTCTTCGTGCCAGACCGCTTGGGCCTTCTTCTTCCCCCTTGCCCTCCGGAATGTAGATCTCGACTGAGGCATACCTACTTGCCGGTTCTTCCTAGTCGTTGTTTCAGTTGGAGTTTTTAGTTTTGGGGTCGTTTTAGTACTCTATCGTTAGTTAGGTGTGAGTTTAGTTAGGTAGTGTTTTAGTCTGGACTGTTTTATACTCCGCTTGTTAGCCTTTTAGCACCTTGAGTTTCTTTTTCGTCCCATAATTTGGCCGGTGGTTGAACTGCGGAATATTGCTTTAGTTAATAATTTGGATAGTGATTTGCACCAAAACAAAAAAAATAAAAAAATAAAAAAAAAATAATAATTATTGTGAATAAGTGGAAGGTACCACTATTCATAATAGTGATGTGAATTAAATTTGTATGGAGGAATGAATAAATAGCTATGGGGAGATGAATGATTTGTGTAGAAAGTGTCGGTAGAATTTGTCTATAAAAGGCACCCCAAATGTATTGCATGGACACACTTTTGAGAAGAAAGAAGAAAGAAGAAATTCAGTATAATTTATATCCGATTTCTATTTTGTGTTCTTTATCTTTTCTCATTTTTATAACACGTTATCAGCACGAGCGCTCTACCCGGTCAAGAAAGGTAGGAATATACTAATTATATATGTATGTATATATATTACAAAAAATTAGTATATTTTACTGATATACATATTACCATTATTCTTGACAAGTAAGGCTCTGCCATAGTCGAGTATATGTGGTATGAATATACTAAATATGACATTATTTACATATTACCATTATTATTGGCAAGTAAGGCTATGCCATAGTCAATAATATGTGGTAAGATGATATTATTAAATTTGTTTATGATTACTATTAATTATGATGTATAACTTCAAGTTATAATAAATAATATTACTTATACTTAACGCCCACAAAATGGTTTACCCAGTAATGTGGTGTGAAATTTATAACTGCTTATTCTTGTACCCACCGAAAGATTTATCGAGTAGTGTGGAGTGACATTTTTATTTGTTTTGTCACTTATATTCATTAAATTGTTCACATAGTGGCTCGGTGAATTTTAAGATAATATACATGATTAATTAGTATTTTATAATCATGAATAATTAACTAACAAATATTATATCATTAGTTTGTTCTCAACGGCTTCATAACGGCTATATTGCAACGGCTACTTATCAACTTATATATATATCACAGTACACTTCATATATTAACACCATTCCAAATACTAAAATATATTTCCCTCAAACGAAAAAAAATAATAATAAATGTTTCATCTACTATTTATAATTCCCAGTATATTGTTTATTTTTTACACTTTGGGAATTTTCACAATGATGTATCATACCACTGAATTTATACTTTATGTATTAGGTTTTTGTATGATGTGTCTCTTATTTGCTTTTCTGTACGTTGTGGAGAATTAATGATTGTATAATGTAATTTTCTCTAATCTAAGCATTGATGTTTTATTTTATAGTTATCATGGCAAATCTGGTCAAACTCGAATTTGAGGCTCTTGACATTTCCGGAAAAAATTATATTTCATGGACACTAGATGCCGAAATTCATTTGGCCGCGAGGGGATTGGGAGAAACAATAATCTCCCCAAATAATTCATCAATACAAGATAAAGCTAAAGCAATGATATTTCTGCGGCACCATTTGAATGAGGGACTGAAAAATGAATACTTAACTGTGAAAGATCCCGCGGATCTTTGGAAAGCTTTGAAAGAAAGATACGATCATCAGAAAACAGTAATTCTCCCCCGGGCTCGTTATGAATGGATGCACTTACGCTTCCAAGATTTTAAAACTGTAAACGAGTTCAATTCGGCCATGCTCCGCATTTGCTCGGTATTGAAATTATGCGGGGAAAACATAACTGATTATGATATGCTTGAAAAAACGTTGTCCACATTCCACGCTTCAAACGTGCTTTTGCAGCAACAATACAGAGCAAAAGGCTTTGTGAAATATTCTGAGCTGATTTCTTGCTTGTTGCTAGCCGAACAAAATAATGAGCTGTTGATGAAAAATCATGAATCTAGACCACAGGGTCTACTGCGGTCCCTGAGGTAAATGCTGTAATATCTAAACAAAGACCCAAAAATGAAAACAACCAAAATTATGGACGTGGATATAACTCAGGCCGTGGTCGTGGCCGTGGACGTGGTCGTGGATATGGTCCAGATAGAAATTATGGACGAGGCCGAAATTTTTACCCGGGATACAAATATGGCCGAGGTTATTATCGTGGACATGGAAAAAACGGTGCCCAAAATTTTGAAAAGGGGAAGAATTTTCAGAAAAATTTTGAAAATAATAAAGGGGAAGAAAAAGTTGTGAAAAATAACGATGAAAAGCCATGTTATCGATGTGGGAGAAATAACCATTGGGCTCGAAATTGTCGAGCCCCACCGCACGTGGTTGAAAGATATCAGGATTCTCAGAAAGCAAAAGAGAAGAATATTGAAACTAATTTTATGGTTGGGGAATCCTCTGAAAATGATGCAACACGTGTGGATGATGACTATGACATCGATGACATATTGAAATTGGATTTTGCCGATGCGGCATTTGAAGACGGAGATGGAAATGACCAAGAGAATAACTGATGATCGTGTTTTATTTTGCTTTTTGAGTTGTAATGTATTTGTGTGTGAGCTACTTGTATCTGTACTTTGAATTTGATCAATAATAAATGTTGTTTTCTTTTAGATCATGGATCGGTCTTGAATCCAAGATGGAGATATATGTCTTGCAGATTGTGCCACTACTCATTCTATATTCAAGGACAGAAAATATTTCGTGAACTTGAAATTAAATGAAGCAAAAGTAAACACAATATCCAGAAGTGCAAAGATAATTGAGGGTTCTGGAAAAGCCATATTTTTTATGATGGGTGGTACAAAATTTATAGTAAGTGATGCGCTATTCTCCCCAAAATCAACAAGAAACTTGTTGAGTTTTAAAGATATTCGAATGAACGGATACCACATTGAAACAATGAATAAGGGGGGAGCTGAATATCTTTGCATTACCTCAAATATTGCGGGAAATAAATGTGTTTTGGAGAGATTACCCGCTTTATCCTCGGGTTTATATTACACCCGGATTAATATAATCGAGGCTTATGTTGCAACCAATTCAAAACCGAATGAAACATTTAAACTTTGGCATGATCGACTTGGTCACCCTGGATCGATAATGATGAGAAGAATTATTGAAAATTCCAGTGGCCATCCATTGAAAAATCAGAAGATATTGCAAACACATGAATTGACATGTGCCTCATTCTCTCAAGGGAAATTGATACTGAGACCATCACATACTAAAGTCGGACATGAATCACCATTATTTTTGGAAAGGATTCATGGTGATATATGTGGACCTATTCATCCACCTTGTGGTCCATTCAGATATTTTATGGTGTTGATTGATGCCTCTAGTAGATGGTCTCATGTGAGTTTGTTATCAACTCGAAATGTGGCATTTGCTAAATTACTCGCCCAACTTATCAAATTAAGGGCTCAATTCCCAGATTATATTATCAAAAGGGTCAGACTTGACAATGCTGGTGAGTCATCTCAAGCATTTAATGATTATTGTATGGCAGTGGGAATTGATGTTGAACACTCTGTGGCACATGTTCATACTCAAAATGGTCTAGCAGAATCATTAATTAAACAACTGCAGCTCATAGCTAGACCATTGATAATGAGGACAAAGCTTCCCACTTCAGTATGGGGACATGCTATTCTGCATGCGGATGATCTAATTCGAATAAGACCAAGTGCATACCATACATACTCGCCATTACAGTTGGCATATGGTCGTGAACTAAATATTGCACATATAAGAGTTTTTGGTTGTGCAGTATATGTACCAATTGCTCCGCCCCAACGTACAAAAATGGGGCCTCAAAGAAGGTTGGGAATATATGTTGGATATGAATCTCCATCAATAATCAAATACCTTGAGCCAAAAACAGGTGATGTTTTTACAGCTCGTTTTGATGATTGTCATTTTAATGAAGAATTGTTTCCCCCCTTAGGTGGGAATGAAAAGTCAATTGAGAGAAATATTGAATGGAGAACATCCGCATTATCATATCTTGATCCTCCCACCAAACAAAGAGAGCAAGAAGTTCAAAAGATCATACATTTGCAGAATATTGCAAACCAATTGCCAGATGCATTTACTGATTTAAAAAGGGTGACTAAATCACATGTGGCAGCCGTAAATGCCCCTGCTAGAATTGAGATTCCAAAAGAAATAGCAAATGACGATAAGCCAAGTGAGTCAAAGACACGCTTGAAACGAGGAAGACCAGTTGGGTCTAAAGATAAGAATCCTCGAAAGAAAAGAGAAATTCTTGACTCAAATTTGAAAAAGAACCAGGATGATGGAAAAATTTCGGGACAAAATGAAAATATTGAAATTTCCATCAACTACGTAAACAATGGGAACCTTTGGAAGCGTAATGAGATCATGAATATTGATGACGCATTTGCATATATGGTATCGAAAGTAATTGATAATGAAGTTGAGGATCCTGAACCAAAATCTGTAGCTGAATGTCAAAAAAGACGTGATTGGGATAAATGGAAAGGTGCCATCCAAGCTGAGTTAGATTCACTCAATAAACGAAAAGTTTTTGGGCCTATTTCCATTATACCAAAAGGCATAAAACCTATTGGATACAAATGGGTTTTCACCAGAAAAAGAAATGAGAAAAACGAGATCACGAGATATAAAGCTCGACTTGTTGCACAGGGATTTTCCCAAAGGCCTGGGATCGATTATGATGAGACATATTCCCCTGTCATGGATGCAATTACTTTCAGATACTTGATGAGTTTAGCTGTCCATGAAAATCTTGAGATGCGTCTCATGGACGTTGTAACTGCTTATTTGTATGGATCATTAGACACCGACATATACATGAAAATCCCAGAAGGAATCAGAATGCCCGAAGCACTGAAATCCAAACCTAAAGAGTTATGTGCGTTAAAGTTGCAAAGATCTTTATATGGCT